TATTTACTGTATGTACTGACATGGAGCAGTTGTGTGGGCAGTGAGTCAAAGCTTGTACCAAATCAGCAACTCACTAAGTAGTGAAGCAAGGGTTGTGATAATAGCCATGAAGCTTACACCCTCAAACAAGTAAATGGTGGCAACTGCCATATCATTGCCATGACAGGTGCCTTTTAATTGTCGTAAATTGTGTTTATGTTTTTCAATTATCCATGGTAAAGAGATAAGTAGTACCATTGTTTCATTTCTGTAGTTTGTGAGTTAGTAGAAAGGCATTATTCTGGCACATAAAAGACACATGGCTTGATCCACTAAGCATCCATACCAGGATAAGTATACTTATGTTCAAAATAGTGACAGTTATTGTCAGCTGAGTCTAATGTGATTTGAAAATTACAGGCACATTGCTAAATTAGAGAGCTTTATCTTTCTGTTGAAGCTTTGTGAATTAAGCCTGCAGTGGTTTAAACACAGCAGTAAAGATGAGCAAATTTGCCCTCCAATGTTTATATTCCATCTTGTTTAGGCTGATTCACACAAGCCAAAAGATTCACTAATATAACCCAGCCTGCCACCAGCCCACCAGCATTAATGGAGCTGGTTTTCTTTTTAAATATATTTTCTTCCAAATTACAGAAGGAAAGTAGACAGGTATATTGGGTTGATAGCTCCATGGCCATGATGGTTGTTCTTCTTCCACACTAAAACAAAGTATGGGCAGCACAGTGGCTAAATGGTTAGCATGTCCGCCTGCCAGTACTAGGGTCGTTGGTTCGAATACCAGCCATGGCACCACCTGCCTGGAGTTTTCATGTTCTCCCTGTGCCTGCGAGGGTTTCCTCCAGGTACTCCAGTTTCCTCCCACACTCCAAAGACATGTTGGTAGGTGAATTGGATCCTGTCTAAATTGGCCCTAGTATGTACATGTATGAATGTGAGTTAGGGACCTTAGATTGTACACCCCTTGAGGGTTAGGGACTGATGTGAATGTACAATATATATGTAAAGAGCTGTGTAAATTGACGGCGCTATATAAGTACCTGAAATAAAATAATGTAGTTGATTTACTAAAACTGAAGAGTGCAAAATCTGGTACAGTTTGCATAGAAACCAATCAACATCCAAATTTTTGTTGAATTAAGCTGAGGTTAGAAGCTGATTGGCTGCCATGTACAGCTGCACCAGATTTTGCACTCTCCAGTTTTAGTGAATCTGCCCCTAAATGTCCTTAACCACCAGATATTTACTTTAAAAAGGAGAGTACATACCTTCAAGTTTGTCTATTAAACAATGAACATTGTATGGAAATTGAGGGGGTTTATTAGGAAACTAACAAGCAAGGTGAATTGCTAAAAAAGGGGGGCATACTGAAACCCTTACCGGAACAACAGCTCTGTGGTTTCACAATCAGATTGCCATAGGTACCTTAGACTGAAACAAGAGGAATTTTTTTTTCCTTCCTCCATGCATAGACATGTAGTAGCCTTACATACTGTATGCGTATAAGCAAGTGTGTGTGATTCTTTCTTTGACACAAGTTAGTCCCTGCAAGGTTCCCACTGCTTTTAGGGACAAATGTGTAAGTTTGCAATATATGTTTGTACATCAGTCACGTGTAAGAAAGATAAATTGTTGGTCATGTATATACAAGATCTGTCAAGATTTTGGAAACATGGCCAATTGCCATCTAATGTCAATAGGCACCTTTAAAATGACCCTGTTAGGGGGCAAAATCCAAATAACAATTTCCTGCGAGAGAGGAGATCTTATACTCTTCTCCCTGGCTGTCTACGTGTCCTACCCCCCCCCCCCCCCCCCCAGCTCAGTGCCAGCTCAGATATTACACAATCCTGGTGCCTTTGCAATTCTTCGCCACTGTCTAATTCAGATCAGTCTTTGCTGCAGCCTCTCACCTTGTGACTTTTTACAAAGTTAAAACATTGCAATCTGATTGCTGTGAAAGAGTCGACTAAGGGCAGCCATTGATGGATCAAATTTTGGCCACAAGAGGCCAACCGGATTTGATCCATCTATGGGAGGCTGTTGTACTGAAGTTGATCTATCAATCAATTTCAATACAACCAGCCCGTTGGATTTTTAGCATGAGACGGCTATAGCCACTAGCAGAAATCATTATGTTCTGCTGGCAGGGAAGGCTCCCCACCAGCAGAACACAATAGCTCAGTGGGAAATATTCCCACATCAACACTGAGCATCCTGCCTGCATCAGACCGATGACATCATCACAGCCTAGGCTTAGTCACTGGACTGCTTTAATGATAAAAGGTGGCACTTTTATGAAAAAAAAAACAATACTGTTGCTGTAAATTGTGATGTCAGGATTTTCTTCATGTAGACTTGTAAAGTTGGAGACTCTCAAATATAGAGGTAGGACCATAGTATACAGAGGGCGAGGCACTGTGATGTCCACATATATTTGCAAATGTGTACAACAAAACTCTCTGTTTTTAACATAAATTGTTAGATAGGGTCAATTTTTTTTTTTCTTGCAGGCTACTTGTTACCGTAAGTGTGCTGGGAAATGTTCTGTTTGCTTAGACTTGTAAAGTTATAATGGATCACTGCTCAGAGGGCATTTGACAGGAGGTGCAGAGGTGACATTGCTGGTTTTAAACCCTAAAAGCAGTTGAAGTTTGTCCCCATTCACTTGAATAAATCATGTTTGGTGTGCTGTTTCATCCATGGACGTGACAGGGGGAGATCAATTTCATGAAGCAAAGCATGGCAACCATGGCATGTGTACACCCCTGCCTGCTTTTTCATTTTAAGGGGGAACGGGTATGTGGCAGGAAAAAACACAGCTCAGCCACATATTTTCACCCCACCTGAAGTGTAAACCTAGCCTAAAGAAGACTTTTTAGTATCATCCTCTCAATACCATCTGCATGTGCTGCCTTCAGATGTAATTATATAATCACAGAATGCTGGTTGCATAGTCCCTATTTTCACAGTAAAAATCAATCAAAAACACTTTTATTTTGAAAGCAGTTTTCTAATATTTTCAGAATTTGGATTTGTAGCCATTGTCATGAACACAAGGTCACAAAGCACCGTTTGTGCATCTAAAAGACATCATAAGCCTATAAATAATTGCAATTTTTAAATAGAACAAAAACATAAATGAATGGTGTCAGCCTCATGTGCCTTTGTCATGTCTTAATTGTCTTTTCAGAGGTTGCTAATGCATGCCCTTCATCTTAGTCTTTCATTAAAATAAAACCCTGGCTTTCTCGTAACTGCTATGAAAAAGATCTCTTAATATAATTAAAGAATTTTAGAGGGCAGGAAGACATATTTACATATCCAGGATATAAATGAGTGCCCTTGAATTATACTATCATTTTTTAAAATATATTTTCAAGAAAAAAAAACATTTTACCACTCTATTTCATATATGACTGAAATATAAATGGTAATTTCTCACACCTGACAAGCATTTCATCTTCCTGCCAGAGCAATTGCTGCATTTCCTGTAATGCTTTAGATCAGCCTATGGCTTTTTTTTTTTTTTTTTTTGCAGCGTGCTTGATTTGGGTGCATGGACCCTTATTTTTTAGGTGCTGACAGTTTGAGTAAATTAATAAAGCTACCATTGTGGTGTGTTAAAGGGATTTTTCATGTCAGTGATATCTTGTTGAAGTTTTCAAGCATAAGAAGCAAAAAGACAGTGTTACATGATGGGAGTGATTTAGGATCATCTAATTTTATATCGTATATGGTAAAATAATGGAGACTGGCAGTAAATGAATATAATTCGTGAATGGATCTTTCAGTCGTGCTACTGTGTGACAGAAAATTGCTGCTACCCTTTAAAGGCTTTGCAGTAAGTAGATGGCAATGTGACTATCTGTATAGGTTGCAGAGAATGACAATCAATCACAAACTATAATCTAGAGCTGCGGTTGTTTGCTCGCCATTATTGCAGGTTGCAGCAGATTATCATAGGTTGCATTGTTTTTTTCCTTTGCTGCAAGGTCTGGGATCATTAATGAGCAGCCTCAGTTGTCCATCTTGCCTTATACAGTTGAGAAGTATCTGAAGCACTGATTTTTAGCAGACCTCATAGACATTGTAATTTTGCTAATTTTTCTACATGTATGTTTGCTAATTTGAATGTGCATGCAGCAACTCAGTGACATGTTGGTAGCATTCCCTGTACTGTTCCCGGTAATTGATACCAGAAGAAAACACTTGAAGGACCAAAAAATAAAAGCAACCACATTCATTTTGTAGTTTATACTAAAAAAAAAGCCAACACATTTCAGGGGTCTGAAGGAACTTCATCAGGGCTTCAGTTAAAATAAGAACCTTGAATGGACTAAACATAGAACTTTCCTGTGTGAATCTGTGTATCTTCATGATCAATCAAGATACATTGTCCATTGATGGGCAGGCACTGAGCTGCATGGGGTTGCTAGGCAACAACAATGCCACTGCCAAATTCTTGATTTACCTTGCCACTCACATTGCATTTCCAGGTTCTGAGGTACCCTTTACACTTGTCTGGTTGTTTTTTTCTGTATATAATTTCTTGAGCATAGCATTGTAGCATTTTTTTAGGTGGGACTATGTCACTGTAACATCATGGGGGTGGATGTTTAGTTCTGAATGTTCACTTACGTATTGTGACAGTGCTGCATCTTGTCATGGTGTCAGAACTGTTAGATGTCACCCAGAATTCTCACTTATGCAGGTTGAGGGCCTCTAGGATGTCTGTTATGAGTGGAGACAACAGGTTTTGCATTTTTCTCCAGGATTGGGTCCACATTTTATTGAAAACCAATATTTTGATTTTGCAGGCGTGTACAGCCTTTTAGACAAGGGTCTGTCTATGGTTCAAGGCTCCTTCCCCTGGAAACAAGCTGCTGAATGATCAGTGTATGTTAACAGGAGAGCAGGACAACAGGTCAAGTAGGACACACCTCAAGGAGAGGTGATATGACAAGGCTGTCTCCTAAGAGAGATACAGGGGCGGACTGACAACTCATGGGGCCCCCTGGCAATATGAGATCATGGGACCCCTGTGTCCTTGCCCAAACTCAAAAAAGCCTATGAAAAAGGTACCAGGGGCATCTCATGGGGCCCCCTACTGACCCCTGGCCCTCGGGCAGTGCCAGAGTTTCCAAATGGTCAGTCCGCCCCTGGAGAGGTATTATAAGACTGTATGTAATTAGGCAAGGCCTGTGCAATCTCAAGTTGGGCAGTTTGTTTCAATGCTGAGCCTAGGTCCACACTATGAATCGCATGTGAATCACACAGGAATCACACCACACTCCTGTGCAAATCATATGTGATTTTGTGCTCCCTATTCATTTTGATGGCTCAAATTGCACCTTATCTGCATCAAAAATGTGGGGGCAGCTTTCTTGTATGCGCACTGGTACCGGTTTGCATAGTTGTTTATACCCATGCGATCTGGTTCAGGAAAAACGCATTGCTTTTGGGGTGTCATAAACTCTCTATTGACACCCGCAGTAGATCGCAGAACACTGTGACTGCTATGCGGTGCGGGAAACGCACAGGAATCACACCGCGTTTCCTGCATCGCATCTGTGTGACCCGGGGCTGAATGTGGTTTCATGGTGATTCTGTGCAGAGACTCAGGGACCATGGAGTCTGGATAACCAGGAGGCTGGAAAATTTTGACTTTTCATTGTGATGCTAAAATCCCCCGTGAGGGTAACCTTTGGTGTGTTTTTGAACAAAAAGGACAATCCCCCCCCCCGAAATGTACTTAATTGGCTGGACTGTAGCTAGTGAGGGGCGATACACTGAACCCCCACAGTAAATATACATATTTCATTGCATTGTGAACCGTCACTATGGTGTCTTGAAGAAGGGACCCTGCATAGCCTTGAAATGTTGGCTTATTTGGCTAATGTGACATTACAATAATAAATGAGTGTGTATATTTGTAAATGCTAGTGACATGTCATTGCTTTATTGTCTGAACACTGTTCTTTATGAAAATTTAATTTGTATTTTGTACCTCTGCTAGACTGCAGCATCTATCATTAAATACGATAAGGTCTGCAGCACTATTAAATACGATAAGGTCTTAGTTGCTATGCAGTTAAGAGTTCTGAATACTGCAAGGTACATTTAGCTCTTTCTATGCAGCATGACTAAATCTGAGCTAATTACAAAGGAAATGTGCACACAAACATTAGCTGTCATCTGCGGCTGTAAAATAGTTTCATAGCTGGAGAAAGCCTTGTCGCCATTAGGTGGCTCACTATGAATGCACATGAGAGCCTTACCCCCTCCTCCGGAGATCACTGCGCTGTTGCTATGTGCTTTTCCATGACAGCACAGACTCAGCCCTGTGTGTGAGTCATTGAGAGGAATAGAACAGAGGGAAAAATACTGGCTAGGAAAACTCGAATAGCAGAGTCGAGGTCTTGCTCTGTGGACTGTTCAAACCGGAGATCAAGCCGAGAGTTCTATTTGTTGTATGGAACTGCTGCTCCTTTGTCTCTTATGTTCTTGGCGTGCTCTGAAAGAGCTGGGTCTGTATTACTTGGGCCCTGCTGTGTCACTTAAGGGAAATAATAAACCATTGTATTCATTAAGCAACCCTTGTTTTAGCAAACAAATCCCAGATACTGAAAGAAGGACATTTTGAAGAGGAAGAATTAGTAAGAATTCTTTACAAAATTCCCTAGAGAAACTACTTTGTTTCCCCTATTTTATTGCTACTTACTGAGAAGATTCATATTCAAATAGGTTGGGGTTGTGAATTGGTCTTTTTTACATTCTCATGCACCCAGGAAGGCTATGATTATGGCTAATTACAATGAGGAATGGCATACTTACAGCAGTGCTCAATCAGATTGTTGTTCTTGCATGAAAAAGTGCAGGCCAGCCAATAGAGGTGAGAATTTAGTTATTACAAACAATGAAACGTCCTGAAATAAAAGGCTTAGTACATTGACGGAAGGCACTAATTAATCACTGTATACTAACCTAAAAACATGGGCTCCAAATTAATAGGATGAAGATAAAACAGCCCTGTTTTCCAGGAATTTCTATAGATAAAGTCGGAAGTGGCTAAACAACACAAGCTGTGTTTAACATCAGTATGGAAGCTTTCAATCCATGCAGTAATCACAGTTTTACTGCTGCTTACCATAAATTGTTAAGTCTATTACAGATGAGTAAAGTGCTCTGTCAGCTTCAATATCACAGTAAGATCAGAGCATGTAAGTGAATAGTGGGTATTTGCTGGGCCAAAAAAAATCAGGCATACAGTATATAGCCTACTACCATTCAACTATGTTAATGTAAATCCACATGCTTTAACCCTGGTTCACACTGTCACATTGCATGTGATTCACACAGTAGTCGCACTGCTGCATTCCTGTGCAAATCATGCGATTCTTAGTGGTGTGATTTGAGCCCATTCATTTTGTATGGCTCAAATCGCACCACATCTGAACGAAAAAGGTGCAGGCACCTTTTTTTAGCCTCACTCATGTTCACGTGCATGTGATCCGATTGAAGAAAATGCACTGCATTTTTCAACCTGTTTTTGGGGTGTCAGTAACTCAACATTGACACCCGCAGCAGATCGCATGAACACAGTGTCATTGCTATCCGGTGCAGGAAACGCACAGGAAATCGCTGTGTTTCCCGCACCACATCAGTGTGAATCAGGGCTTAATGTGTATCCATATGCTCTTCAGCATGAGGTAGGTTCTTCATCACAAAAATGTAATTGCCTTTTAGAGCACTTTGCCAGAAGAGCTATGGGTAATTTGCAGGCTTATGGGTAATTTACCTGCCTATGGTGGAATACAGGCAAGTGGCTAACCTCAGTGGTGACAGATTTTGTTTAAATGTTTTCTATACGTTAACCCTTCCTGCCCACCCACACATCCCTTTAGTGTTCAAATAGTAAAGGACAGCACCCAAGAATTAAATGCAAATAAAATGTTCTTTTTTACACACCCATCATGATGCAAAGGAATCCTATACACAACAGATGCCGACACAGGAACCAGGAGAGGATACCATATCCTTTCATATCCTCTCCTGGTTCCCTATTGATTATTTTAATATAGCCCTGCAAGGGTTAATTTTTTGATTCGCTCTTCCATGTGAGCCTGAGGAGAGGTTATTTAATGTGGTTGTAAAGGCTCCAGTTTTTTTACCTTCATGCATTCTATAGATAATGGTTAGAATTACTGTCAAATGGTTAATGTTTTATGTGGCCCTGTTCAAAAAAGTCCCTGAAGGGTGGCAGAGAGAACAAAAAGTGAGGGGGGGACTTTGAAAATTAAAAAAAAAAGAACACTTTTTACTGGAGGTAGTCTCTTTCATAATAAGAAAGAAATATGGATAACAGGAGTGGATCTTATGAATGCCATAGTCTATCTCTGTTGTCTATATGTGGACATGAATTTTGAGCAAGGCTTGTGTTTTAATGCTTTGATACTCAGGTGATTATCAGATAATAAAGCCATTACACAAGGCCCATGCCATCACATTCTTCTATGTAGACAGAATTTCACTGTATGTATGTATGTTGATTCTGTATGTATTTGGTGGTGGGTCCTTACAGTATGCTCAAATGGGCAGTTGTCTTGCTATCATTCCCTCAACCATTGGTATGTAATTAGTTTGATGACTTGTGGGTGAAGAAGTAAGAGAACTACACAAGCTGGCATAGAGGACCAGCTGCCTGGCTGTGATAATGATCCAGAAGCTTTAGACCTTTGGACTTACTGATCTGGAAGAAATATGCACATCAGAGTTCTGATATCACTCTGTCTTTATTTGCTGCACAAATCTTCTGGGCTAGCCATTAAAAACATATTGAAGCCAGGCATGGCCAGACAAACTTAATTTTCAGAAGGAGGATAGCTAAACATTATCGATATATGCAGGATTTCTTTACTGTGGCCTTGTTCTTCTTTTTTTTCTGTTACAATGCTCTACTTGCCTGTAAGTGGCCATTATTTGAAAGCCATCTTTTTACAATCTATAACATTCTTCTTTTGAGATAGTTGTTTGAGGAGACCCTTCCTACTTATATTATTTCTTTCAGCTCTCTGTGCTGAAAGTTATTCCTGTAAATACATTTAAAAAAGTATTTAAAAGGAATCTGTAATAAGGTACAAACCTTTGGCAATGTCCGATAAAAGCTATCAGTTCACAGAACACCTACTAGTTCCTGGCAGGGCTGTATTTATAACAATGGCTTTTGTAGACCAGAATCTGAAGTTGCAAGGTTAGATGGAGTGCACTAAGCCTTAACATTTAAAAATTGTGATAACTTTTACCTTATGATGCTCCCCATTTCCTAACCTTTTGGGCCTTTGTGGCTGCGTTGAGCTGAAGAATTCTGGGGTTGTTGGGGAGAGCCTTGAGAGACTTTATAGTTCAAGAAATGAAAAATAATTTTTTTGTGGTCTGTACAGTTGCAAAGTAGCATATAAGTAAGACCTATACATAACAAAAATTCAGTGTTCTGCCTCCAATAGGGCATCATCTTTCATGCCTAAATATGACCCTGGTTCTTTGAAAGTGACTTTTCTTTCAGTGAAGCTGAATATTATTAAAGCATAAGCCAAAGAGCAAAAATTTAATATATTGCAGTTTTCCAGTATTTAGATGTAGTGGTTACATTAGTTTTCAGGCTTTTTTTTCCTTGATATTCAAATTGTGATCCTGTCAGTAACACACTTTTCTGTCCTAGGCTGACAACACTAACTCTATGGAGGAGCAGTGGTGTCACCCTAGGTCCAGAATTGTAGAACATGTTCTCTTGTTCTACATAAATATATTGGGCTAAAAAAAAATGTGGTCATATTGGGTCAATGATATTACAAACATCCTTGCCCCTTTATGTTCGTACAGCTGCAGAGCAGGGAATACCTCAGCAACTGATTAGACCAGCACTGACAGCTTACTTTTGGGTTCTGCCAAATATTGGGTTCAGGCCAAACCAAAGTTAATCCTATCCACTACCATTCCATTACGTTTTTTTTTCCAGGTTCCCTGTTTTCAAAGTTCAGACAGCATCATATTCTACAAGTCAAAGTTATAATCAATTATTAAAAGCAATCAAAGTATGAGCTTAATGTAATGGTGGCTACATCTGAGAGGTGGTTTTGGTTTGGTAAACTGATCCAGCAATGCTTGCGATGTGACAAATGCAGTATAGAACTTCTATAAAGGAAGGTGCTAACCTCTGATGAATTGCCTTGTCTGTTAGCACATATGTGGCAGGTGCGGGCTCTTTACAAGTGCGGCAAGTTACAAGAACAGCTGCTTCTGAGCACAGCTGCTTCAAAGAACTGTTAGGCGTGTGTGGGACTGAGTGTCTACATTATTATTCTTAATGTGTCATATGTGATAGGTGTAGGAAAGGTTCACTGTCTCTCTTTTTTGTTCTATTAATGACAGACAGACAATCCTTCCAATATTATACATTGTAAATTTGTTTAATTTGAAAGCAACCAGATTAATACATATAGCATTATTAACCTCTCCTTCTAAAACTGCTAGTTGCTTGGTTGTCATGTTGATCCAATGTCTTCAGCTCTTTCTGAGTCTCAGATCCAGAAAAAAATGCATATCATTTTGTTCTGACTTTATTTCCTGCTTGTTTGTTCTTGGGGAGATCACAAACAGTGTCCTTTGCATTTTTTTTTTGTAAAATAATTTTTAAGCTGCTTCTGTTTAGTTGACATGGATGTCTGTATGGGACAGAAAGCAAAAGTGTGTGTGTGTGTGTGTGTGGGGGGGGGGGGGGGGGGGGGGGGTGTTAGATTGCCAAGTGGTATTTTTTGTAATTTGCTACCTGTTTTCTGGGGAACAACACATTGACTGTAATGCATACTGTACATACACCTACTTGTGTCTGTTCGCCTCTTCCGATGGTTGGCAGGGTCAACAGTACTTAGTATAACATGAATATAAACATGAACATTATGTGTGCCCCCCACAATGTGGGGCAGTATGTATACAGAAGCACAGCAGTTATCTCCAATAGATGGGCTATTAGGTGGACACAAAGAGGTTGATTTACTAAAGGAATTGTTAAACATGTAGGATTCAGAAGATGCTGTGTACTATATGCCCTCATCCTTATAAGACAGTATACACATAGAGGACTAATACGTAGCTATGGCCTTTTTGAGGAACATACAGAAAAAAAAACCTTTGAGTTTACATGTGGAGGTTTTTTCTTTGGAATCAATTACATCTATGTGAATCTAAAGGCAGTCATATTTTCTAATGACTTTTTTGTAGAGTCGTATTCTTGATTTTAATGTTATTAAGAGGTGAAGACCCGCACCCCGACTCATATGATTCGTGCAGTAAATATTCATTATTATGTTTTTGTTTTTGTGTGAAAATCATGTTTTAATGGTTTTGTTCTTTGTTATTAACGGTTTTGTTCATTTTGTGCACCTATGTATAAATATATACCTAAATATATACCTATGTTTTGAATTTTAAAAATCATATTTTATTTTTCCAATTAAGAAGGGTTCGGTGAATGCACATATGAAACTGGTGGGGTTCAGTACCTCCAACAAGGTTAAGAACCACTGTTCTAGGTCCTGACCTCTTCAGGCCCCACATCTAATCACTGGTTAAATCGTGCCACCTTAACCTCCGCAGCATTTCCAGAATCCGCCCCTTCCTGACTAACGACACCACAAAACAACTTATCCATGCCTTGGTTATATCCCGCCTTGATTATTGCAACTCCCTCCTCACTGGCCTACCTTTACACAGGTTATCCCCCCTTCAGTCTAATATGAATGCTGCTGGTAGACTTACTAACTGATCCATGACTGCTGCACCTCACTGCCAATCCCTTCACTTCTGTCCACTAGCCCAATGTATAAAATTCTAAATACTAACTACAACATACAAAGCCATCCACAGCATTGCCCCTAGTTACATCACCAACCTCATCTGCATATATCGTCCAAATTCGCTCCTCCCAAGGCATCTCTCTTTCTAGCTCTCTTGTCACCTTCCTATGCTTGCTTCCAGGACTTCTCTAGAACCTCTCCCATCCTCTGAAACTCCCTACCCCAGTATGTCCGGTCAGCTCCTACTCTATCCACATTTAGACAGTATTTGGGAGGCCTAACAGGGAGGCCTACCCCACATCCACCTCAAAACTGTACTTGAGTCACCTCCATCATCAAATCCTCCCCTGCAGCTACTACCTTATGTACCACCTCCATGTACCATATTCCTTTAGATTGTCACGAGCAGAGCCTTCTTATTCCTTCTGTATTGTAATTGTACTGTCCCCCTTTGTAAAGTGCTGAGCAAACTGGTGCTATAATAAATCCTGTATTATTATTATAATAATAATATGTCCTTCAAAAAATGAATGGCTATGTATCAGTCCTCTGTGTGTTTACAAAAGAAGTTGAGAATCATCACTTAATAAATTGTACTTGTGTACACTTTGAATACCCAATCATCTGCAGAACAATGATGATTGGGTATTCAATCATCATGACTGGATCATGATTGGATAATTGAAGTGAAACTTCACATAATTTTTTGAATGAAGATTCTCAATTCATTCAGTAAATCAGCCTCAGAACATTTGCCCTATGTCAATGTGATAGAAAGCTAGGCAGTCAGTGATGTGGACCAGGGGACAACTGCAAATCCAGAGAGCCTGTATGGTAAAAGCAGCAAGAAAACTTCTGCTGTCACAGTCACAGATCCAATGTTTGTTGTTTCGATAAATGCAGCACTGGTGGTGCTGCTCGCTCCATGAAGTGACAAGGTGCACAGTGATAATATCCACTGAGCCACCAATGATCTTATTAAAGTGGCAGTATGGTGCAGATACCCATGTGATTTCTGGTCAATGCACATCAGATAATCAGACAACTGGCAGTTCATTTTGTTGGCCCAGCTCTATTGCATCTTGTGTCGTAGCAGCCTTAACCTAGTTTTGTAAAAGCAAATCTGTTATTTAATATCTTTTGTTTTGTGTTCAGAAACACATTTTAGCTGTTTGCTACCAGAGCATCAGTAGGCTCACTGCTATCTATTAACAATGTAATGACATGATGGTCATTGTTTGCCATTAGAAGAAAATATCTCATTCAGCACTGAAGGATAAATTGCTTCACCTGAAGAAAGCGCCATTGTGGTTGTGTCACGCACCATAGCTCTCTCAGCAGCCGCTATTCTGTTTATGTTCAGCTTCATATTTATCATACAGTTTGTCACAACCCCAGCTCCTCAGTTCTAATTTCACTGAGAAATATGTAGCTTATTGTTCTGCTTTTACTTGCGTAGTCGGACACAGTACATTTGAGCCCCGATGCATGCGGCCTGTATTCATACTCACCTACATTGGATGAATTGTCGGTACTGTATCCTAAGTGATTATGTATTTTGTATGTATGTATGTATTTATCTGTTAAGCTTTGAATTGTATTTGTTTTCCCTGCATTTCTAGTATTTCTTCTATCTCCTGCAATTGAAGGAGTCTTTGTGCTCTTTTTTTTACAGCCTTCCTGGTGGTGCTGACATATAGACCCGGCACAATATTCCACAAAACACAGTACAAGTGTCCTGAAAATGTCCTTATTGTCTGTGAGGAATTAAGAGCAGGGAAATGGCAGCAGCACTGTATTCCCTCCAGTACAGATCGATTTTCCTAATGAAAATACTATGGGCTTATTTATTATCCTATACAGGATGTACAGGAACGAATGAAGAACAGATCATTTTATACTAATTCTTACACTACACACCTATAATGACTGTTTAAACAATGCACATGATCTGTATTCCTCCATCTATATTTTTGTCACATCAGTTTTATCCATTGTGTTTGTTATATCTTTGGGTTTAGTTCTGCCTTAAGCACCAGGATAGGCACATGTATCTTTTTTAAATGGCCAATCCACCAAAATTCAATATTAGGAGAAGTGTGAGGGAAGGGGGGGGGGGGGGGGCTGAGTCACCCACTAGATTCCTGCTATAGTTTTTAACTTTGTTCCTGCCAATATAGGAGGGTTCCTGGGCGTTCCTGGTTCCTTCTGCTGTATTTACTGTGGTATACATTTAATCTGAGCCTCTCTACATTTTCTGTATTTTTTTCTCATTATTTACTGTTAATATAACATTTTCATTGTAGTGTTGTGCTTGGGACACTAGTCTAAGTGGAAACTGTCGTAATAAAATATTTGGGAAGGCCATTGCCTTTACTGATTTCCTGTTACCTCCTGTTGAGCTTGTTCCAAAAAAAATGGAAGTGAGTTAGAAACAATTTCATGAAAAGTAGATTAAAGGGAAACTAAGTAGTGGATGTGTATGGATCAGGGGCGGACTGACAACTCATGGGGCCCCCGGGCAATAGGGGATCATGGGGCCCCTGTGTCCTTGCCCAAACTAAAAAAAGCCTATGAAAAAGGTACCAGGGCCATCTCATGGGGCCCCCTACTGACACCGGGCCCTCGGGCAGTGCAGTGCCCGAGTTTCCAAATGGCCAGTCCGCCCCTGGTATGGATTATTTTGGAGAAAAAGGATATAGTTTAGTGTCACTTTGAAGTAGGTCAGAAAGAAGAAAGACACACTTCTCAAACTAATTCAGAAGGGTCTAAGAAACAATGATGATTTCAGATGAAAGCTGAATGCTTTGTCCATTTTCACAAACCCTAAAGTATGACATTTTGCAAATATGTGCATGTCTCTCTTTACCTGTTCATCTGCCACAATGGCCCTAACATGATCCTATGCAGGCTTGGGTGGATTGACCTCCAGCCTGAAGGTAGCCATGTAGTTACAGTGCTGACAGTGTTTGGCAGAGCCAGCTAGTCCTCTTGGTTAAGTAACCATTGACGCCAATGTTTTTTCTTAAAATTTTCCTCAGCAACCACCAATGTAATAGGGGTATTCTTTCCAATTACAACCAGTATTAGAGGAGCCGACTTTCTTTTAATCACCATTGCGGGAAGGACCATTCCTCCCCGCCAGTTCTTCGTGCCGACCACCAATGTAAAAGGAGCATGCTTCACACTGACTAAAACCGACCAAGACTGCAGCAGTGCATTCTTTCCTCAATGACCACCATTTATGGGGTATTTTTCTTATCACTAACCTCAAAGGTACAGGGACATTGTTCTTTCCACTGACCACAAAGCTAAAAGGTATAAAAAATGGTGCCGCGCCCTATGAGTGAATGTGTGTCTAAATATATTAGGATAGTGACTTAAATGTGAGTAATGAACTGCCTATAGCAATTCATTAAATAACTTAGAGGTAAAAAGTGTCACACAATATTAACCAATATTAATGACAAGAATATGATTAAAAAATAATACCTAAAAATTATACATAAATCCCATCATACTTGCGACTTGCTCAATGTGCTGTAATAGACTGCTCACACAATCCAGATAGTCTATATGGAAAAACTACTGGGCTAAAAAGCAAAGGTTTACTCTGATGTATTCCTCTGTGGAACGCAGACTGGGTGGTTCACCTCCTTGCTCCTGGTCATGCTGCTATAGGTGAATCCAGGATATGGGTCCTCCCTTCAACAGGCTCTATGTGTTTTCTCCCTATACTCCAAGTGTAAACTGGGAAGAAAAGAGAGAGGGATAGTGCCTTATCTTTGGTATAAAAGTGAATATTTATTTGTGCCAATATTGCACTCACAGATTATAAAAACATTCAGCGCTTTTGGTAAAATAAAGTGTGTCCAGCCTGAGCGGCGTGTGGACACACACTGCCTGTACTCGCCGTTCCAAGGAGTCGGGTACGTGGTGATGTCAGTGCCCCTCCCCAACGCGCTGCGCCACAGGGTCACGTGGCTTCGTCCGGGGGATGTAATATTGGTTAATATTGTGTGACACTTTTTACCACTAAGTTATTTAATGAATTGTATAGGCAGTTCATTACTCACATTTAAGTCACTATCCTAATATATTTAGACACACATTCACTCATAGGGTGCGGCACCATTTTTTATACTTTATTGTTTATCACTAATATACATATATATGAGAATGTAAAGAGGAGCCTGCAAACTTATCCTTATTTCATATTTTAACTCCTAGTGGCTCACAGGTAATCTCATTGTAGTTCACAAAGCTAAAAGGTCATTTTAATCCCATTGACTACCCACATCAGATGACATTTGTACTCTTACTGACCATCAATGTAATTGGGCCATTCACACTGGCCACCAATGGAAAGCAGGCCTTGACACCGATGACCAGTGTAACTGATATTGACACTGGCCACCAATGTAATGGCAACATTGACCCTGTTCATCAATGCAATGGGACATTGACAAGACAACCAATGTGATACTGGTGTTGTCCACCAAAAGAACAGGAGGCACACATTCTGTGGTAAGATCCATGACTACCAATTGTATGGTAACTAGGGTATTATAGATTCAATGCCTTTTTATGAAGCCTGCACAGTGGTAATAGACAAATCATTTGGTCACTATGTAAAATGGTGAAGCATTGACATAGTTGTATGTCTGAGACTTCTCCATTATTATGGGCTTTAACAACTGATTTAAATGTATGCATTAAGCAAAGGTATTTCAAGTTCCAACGTCATTTTTATACAGTTGATTACATTGTGTTTCGGTGCATTATTTAGGCACATCTGGAAATATTTCTTTAGAGTCATATTGTGATCTCATCTAACAGAAGTCTGTGTGAAAGCATGGTAAATTTATTGTAAACACATCAAAAAACACATGTCACTGTGATTGCAATGCCTTAGATAGATGCACTGAGGGAAATTACATTGCATATGTTCAAATGCATGTGACTAAACAGCATAAGAAACACACTAAGCCACTCAGGAAAAACCATGCAAATATGTGGAATGAAAGTGTGTAGTTGAATACATTTATTTATTATCTTCTCAAAATGTATGTTAATTCTTTAAGTTGTTCTTGCAATGGCTCATGTAATAAATGCCACTTTAAAATGTTTTCATATTTTACATTTATCCTCTACAAATACAGTATCTGGTGTTGTGAAATATATTCTTAACAGATGGTTTGGTTTTATTTCTGTAGTTATAATCTGTGAAAAAAAATGTATTTAATGAAAATAACTAGTCCATCTAAGTCCTTACACACACTGCAGTGCCTCTATGTCAGCAATGGGCAAACTACGGCCCGCGGGCCGTATACGGCCCGGAGGACCTTTTAATCTGGCCCGCGGAGCGTGATACAAAAAAAAAAACAGCCAGGGCAGGCAAACATTGGCTGTCAGGATGTGTGTAGGCGGGGCAGCATGACGAACGTGACGGGAGCTAGGCTCCTCTCACAGTCCGCCCTGAAGACCGGAACGGCGCGGGAACATGGCGAGAGGAACGCGCGGAGCAAAGGTAAGTAAATTGACACAGGGGGGACTTGCCTTACTACTTGGGGGGAATAGTACTATGTGGGATGAAATACTATATGAGGGATGAATTAATATGGGGGATGAATTAATATGGGGAATGAATTACTATAGGGGGGATGAATTACTATAGGGGGGATGAATTACTATATGGGGGATGAATTACTATGGGGGATGAATTACTATGGGGGATGAATTATTATATGGGGGATTAATTACTATGCTTGCTTCATCTACTCTTGGTCCGGCCCCCGGGCCCAATATATGAACCCATTGCAGCCCTCAAGTCAAAAAGTTTGCCCACCCCTGCTCTATGTCTTTCTCTTATCTGTAGTGAACAAAGAAGGCGAAGATGTTTTTCCCCACAGTACAGCACTTTGCACCCTTTTAAATGGAGAAGGAATGCAGTCCTTCTGTATCAGGTTCCTCTGGCTCACGATCCTCTAACAGTTGCAGGGTGGCCTGCAGTGTTCCTTTTCAAGGGTCTAACACCGACAGCCTGGAACTTTGTCTTTGCTTGAGCCCCTACATTAACTGGAGTCTTTCTTAGCTTTGTCTGATATGGCCATCTCCTTGGGTCAAACGCAGGATTTCTCTGCAGTTATGCAGAATCTTATGGACCAAAATTTCAATCTTGATTGCTGATTCTGAACGTAAAGGTCAAAAGCGTAGCTCTACACCAAGTTCCTAGCCTTTAGCTGCAGAGTCTTTATCTTAACAAGGGTTTCATAGGGTTTTGACTGAGGAGCTATTAGAGTTCATGCCAACAGTCCTGCACTAATTCATAGATCAGGTAATGGATGTCTTTCGACTTATTTCCTGAATTAGTTTCCTATCAGTTAAGATGTAGAGAACTTTTTGGTTAAATGTTCAGCTGTGGAGCAAGCATGTAAAATGTTTTTAGTGCTCATCAAACGACAACATCTCTTTGAAGCTGCCTTTGACACCCTCATCAGGGATGTCACTAGGGAAAAGAGTACCTATCTAGCCTAGCAAAGGAAGCCTAGGCCACAACTTGGAAATAATTGACCTCCAGGTTCAATAACAAACTGGACAGGTCTGTTTGCAGGTCCAGGAATCCTCTGGCAATGGATGCTCTGGTGGCTCTGTGGGATCGGTACATTCTGATCTACACTTTTCTACCTCTGAAACTCCTTCCTTCTCTGCTTCCCAGGGTCAAGATGGAGAGCATTTCAGTGATCTTCATAGCTCTGGACTGGCCGAGGAAATTATAGTACTCTGACTGGATCAGGTTCCTGGTAGACGCTCTATGTGCTCTTTTACATGGACTGGATCTTCTATCCCAAGGGCCAGTTTACCACCCTGCTTCACAGTTGCTGACTTTAATGGCATGACCGTTGAATCCCAGGTCAGGGGACAGCCACTCCTGTCATTCACATGATGGTCAAAGCCAGGAAGTCCACTTCCTGCAAGATCTGCCATTGCACATGAAAGGCATACTTTGCTTAGTGTGAGAAAAGAAGGTTTCATCCCAGCAAACATTCTATGGGACAGATACTGACTTTTTTGCAATCAGGCATGGCTCAGCAATTGGCATTGAGTATAAAGAAGACCATTAGCACCCAATTCTTTGATTATGTCCTTTGTATAGGGCGTTTCTCATGTAGCTTCCCCTGTGCGGCCACCTGTGTCTTTGTAGGATTTGAATTTGGTTTCCCTGTCACTTTAAAAAAAACATATTTTGAACTTATTAGGGATGTTCACCTTTCTGCTTTAACTAACAAAGGTATGTTTCTTGTCACTACAAGTCCTCTACAAGGCCTGTATCTAAGCTGCTGGCTTTCTCCTGTAAAGAACCTTTTCTTGTCTTAAATCATACATGTGGACAAGTTGGTATTAAGGCCTAGAGCCTCCTTCTCTCCTAAGCTGGTGTCACCCTCAACCAGGACATTGTGCTTCTATTCCTCTGTCTGATCCAAGTACATCAGAAGAAGATTTCCTCTAATTATCTAGATGTAGTTTGAATTTTGCAAGTTTACCTCAAAGAAACAGTTTCTGTTAGAAAGATTGACTTTTTCAGGCTCAGACAGATCATGATTTAAGCTTATGGTCTTAAAGAGATTGTAAAGCTTATATTTTTTTTAAAACTAAAATAATAAATATGTT